CCGAAAGCCCTCATAGCCTCTTCCCCTTTTCCTGCTTCCTTCTCTCCCAAACAGCCAACCTACATTTATCTGCCCCTTTCTGTTTAGGTTTCCACCGGAAAACTGTCACCCAAGGAGATGTGGGGTGGCACCTCACTGTCCCCGCTGCCCCCCCCCCCCACTATTTCCTCTTTACCTCCTCCTGGCAACCCCCATATCATCGGATTTTATGGTACCTTATGCATAGATTTATGGCTTTTCAGGGGTGACTTTGCAGTCAGTGCAGCGTTGCCCTGAGGTACTTGGGCAATTCTGCATCTAGTATTCACTTCATATGGCTCAAAACCACAGTCAATTACCCCGGGCCAACACCGTGCTGACTGCAAAGTCATCCCAAACGGCCATGAAACGGCCACAAATCTGTGCAGAAGATATCATAAAATCCGATGATCAAAGGAAGCGAAAGCGGCATGCAGTGTAGAGGCTACCATAAAATCCGGTGATCAAAGGAAGCGAAAGCGGCACGCAGTGTAGAGGCTACCATAAAATCCGATGATCAAAGGAAGCAAAAGCGACACGCAGTGTAGAGGCTACCATAACATCCAATTATCAAAGGAAGCATAAGAACATAAGAGACGCCAATGTTGGATCAGGCCAAAGGCCCATCCAGTCCAACACTCTGTGTCACACAGTGGCCAGAAATACCAGGTGCCATCAGGAGGTCCACCAGTGGGGCCAGGACACTAGAAGCCCTCCCACTGTTGCCCCCCCCCCCAGCACCAAGATGACAGACCATCACTTGCCCCAGAGTCCCTATCTTTACCTTGTGGCTAATAGCCACTGATGGACCTCTGCTCCATATGCTTATCTAACTCCCTTTTGAAGCGGTCCATGGTAGCCGCAGTGAATTCCATGTGTTAATCACTCTTTGGGTGAAGAAATACTTCCTGTACTTCCTTTGGGTGAAGAAGCAAAAACGGCACGTAGTGTGGAGGCTACCATAAAACCTGATGATCAAAGGAAGCAAAAGCGGCACAGTGAGGAGGCTACCATAAAATCTGATGATCAAAGGAAGCGACATGGAGTGTGGGTGCTGCCATAAAACCTGATGATCAAAGAAAGCAGCATGGAGTGTGGAGGCTACCATAAAACCTGATGATCAAAGGAAGCAAAAGCAGCATGCAGTGTGGAGGCTACTGTAAAACCCGATGATAAAAGGAAGTGAAACAGCATGCAATGCAGAGGGGAATTTCTGTTGCAACCTGGGTTTGCTAAAACAACGGAGGGAAAAGCCAGTGCAGAATCAGCCTTTAAATGTGGTTTTGAGCTGCACTTTTCCCACCCAGTTGAGAAAATGCGGAGCAAATGCTAGAAGCAGAATCACCCTTTGTGAGGGCTTCCTGTCTTCTATGTGAGCAAAATCCTTTGTGCAAAAACAGGCTGTGTTTTAGGCTGGGTCCGTGTCTCCTTGGAAATTGATCTTTTCATAATTTTTTTGTGGACGTGTTAAGTGCCATCGAGCCGCTTCCGACTTATGGCGACCCTACGAATGAACGTCCTCTGAAACGTCCCACCGTTGACAGCCTTGCTCAGGCCTTGCAAACTGAGGGCCTTTCTGGCTTCCTCGACTGAGTCAGCCCCTCTCAGCTTGGGCCAAGGGTTGCCAGCCTCCACCACTAAATCTCCAGGAATTTCCCAAGCTGGAGTTGGCAACCATAGCGAAGGTGGGAGAATTTTTTTTTTAAAAAAAATAACGGCTGTTGAGCCTATGGTGTGATGTCAGTTCCAGAGAAACCCGGACATGACCTAGGTCCTCTCTAGGAATCACCAGAAACTCGATGGTTTTACCTAGAGAGGAGTGACATCACTTCTGGTTTTTCCAGGAAGTCGGGTTGCAGGTCCAAAGGACAAGCCAGTGGGGGACTTACCGGGACTCTCCAGGAGAGGGGAGCAGGCGCATAGCCAGGATTTCTTAAGTCAGGGGGCATTTAAATTTCTTAGGGTGCACTGCCTAATTAAATTAAAGGTAATTTAATTCAGTTTCTGGGGGAAATAGAGAGCTCCACGTGGCCACCATAGCTGGCCCTTCGTGCCAGACAGTTGCGCAGGATACTTGGCTCCTTCCCCGCACCCGCCACTGCTCGGGGGCCCTGGGCTGGATGGGAAGTTGGGGAGGGGCCTGACAGTAAATCAGGGGGCCTAGCCCCGAGTTGCCCCACTGTAGCTACAGGCCTGGAGGGGAGGGGAGAAGCACACACATCAGCAGGGGTCATTTCCTGCAGGAGCGCACAGGAGCGGAGCTCCAGCAGTAAAGAGCCCAGGGGGCGGGCACATGCAACAAGCCCCACCCCCTGCTCCAAGCAGCCCTCAGTCAGAGCGAGAAGCAGCCAGGTAAGTTGCAGAGCTTCCCCCGGCCCTCTAGTTGAAAACAGTCCAGTGGCACCTTTAAGACCAAGTTTTATTCAGGTACAAGCTCTCCCTCCTCTGTGAGGACAGATCTGTACTCCCCCCCCAATAGCTAGCAATCCAAAACAGTCCAGTGGAGCCTGAGCGGTGGGTGTTACCTTCTGACACACGTCCGGTGATGTCAGGGGGTGGGGCATATGCAAATAAGTTATGCTAATGAGTTACGCTAATGAGCTCCTGCACCTCTTTTTCTACGAAATGACCCCTGCACGTCAGTGACATCGGGGGGGGGGATGCTGTGGGTTTTGGGCAAAACTCTATCGTTTGAAGCTAATTCTATCATAGAGTTTTGCCCCAAAACCAGAGTGTCACCCCCCGATATCACCGACGTGCCTACGTCACTTCCGGGTGAGGTGGGCACGTCACATTTGGGGCAGTTTGGGCCAGTGCCGGGGAGGAGCGCCGGAAACTGGGGGATACCCCTGCACCGGGGAGACCTGGCAACCCTACCAGGAAGTGACATCACGCAGCCGCCCCTGTCTCCTGCTGGTTGCCAGGTAACCCTATTTCTCACCAATGCGAGGGAAATCATGGGGGAAATATGGGGATCTCAGATCTTCCCTCCGCGGGTGAAAGAAAAACAGCCCGGGGAAGTCAAAGGAGGAGAAGAGGAAAACACCCTGTGCTCCTTTTCTCCTGCCTGGACCACATCCCATAATCTTTGCTTTAAAAGGAACAGAGAGGAGAACAACCAGACCTAATTCAGTGTAATGCACCGCCGGAGCACTATTACGAATAGGACCGAGCTGTGTCTCTCCCTCCAGAAATTGCCACTGTTAAGTCTAGCGAAGCTTACACCCATGCACAGAAGCGCATGCACGCTCAGACACGCTCACCTGCTTCCACCGCCTCCTTGACCATCACAGCGCAGTACGGATCGATCACGTCCCCTTGGGAAGGCAGGTAGGGGCCGCTGTCATAGTTCGACAACCCAATCCGGAGAAAGGGAGACATGTCCGGCGGCTCTGCGTGGAGCGGAGAGCAGGCGTTATTGGCCATGTTCTAAAAATGCCCGGCTTTGTTTTTTATCGTTCCCAGCAGGCCCGAGAGAATTCAGCCGGCAACCCTTTATCCTTTCAGACAGGACTTCCCCTCTCTGTCATCCCCCCTCCCCACCCGGCTGCTGAGTTAGCACAAGTTGGCCGCACGGCTGAGGATTCGTCGGCTCAGCCACATGGCTGGAGGCCCACGCGATCATCGGGGAATAGCATCGACCCTGCTCAGAGCAAAACGGATAGCTGCAGAAGGCCACGGAATGAGATATCGGCCAGGGCAGGCCGGGGCGGGCGTTTGCCTTGGTGAACTCTGAAACAGACGCTATTTTATTTCTTTATTTTGTTGGACTTTTCTCCTGCCCTTCCCGGGACGCGGGTCTCAGGGCGGCGTACAATAACTAAAGCACAGATGAAACAGTTACAGTAATAAAAGCCTCTGTCGGCTATACAATAACAGTAACCCTCGTCGGCTGCGAATGTGTGTGAATTGAGATGTATATATGTTGCCCTCCCTTACCCCGCAAATCGTTGTTAGTCCCTCGTGAAAAATGAGTAACTGTAAATCGCTCAGAGCCAGCAAGGTCTGCAGGATTGAGCAATCAATAAATTGAAAGATTATTATTATTGTTGTTGTTGTTGTAAGAACTTCCTGACAGTGAGAGTGGTTCCTTAGGCTTCCTCGGGAGGTGGTGGGTTCTCCTTCTTTGGTAGGGTTGCCAGACTCCAGGCGGGTCCTGGAGATCCCTCCGCTTTTACAACTGACCCCCAGCGGACAGAGATCAGCTCCCCTGGAGAAAACGAGAGATCACGGGAGGAAGTGGAATACCAAAAACAACATCCGTGACAAAAATAACGAAGAGTCAATAAAGATAAGTTGCAAAAACGTTTACTGTCGTGATTTCTGTAGCAATCCCAATTCTTATCAATGACTACCCTGGCTGGTAGCAAATTAGCAGGGGAGACTTTATGTTTGGCTTTGAGAATTCAGCTAATACGTTGGGAAGACCCTGGGTTCTGTTATTAGAGAGTCAACAGGGGACGTTCCCTTCAAGAGTTGATAAGTAGTAATTGCTAAGGATCGGGGTCGCTACATGCTCAGATGAAGCAAATATTGTGAAACGGATTGTTTTCAGCGCGCAGTATTCGTTGCGTGTGAGCAATTGTAGAAGAAAATTTTCTACAGACTTACTACAGTAATGAGCTGCAGTGGCTCAAGTGGTTAAGACGCTGAACTGCAGGCCGTGGAAGGTCAGTAGTTCAGCAGTTCGAGACCCGAGTTGCCGCATGACGGAGTGAGCTCCCGTCTCTAGTTCCAGCTCCTGCCAACCTAGCAGTTCTAAAGCAAGAAATTGCAAGTAGATCAATAGGTACCACTTCGGTGGGAAGGGAACAGCATTCTGTGAGCCTTGGTGTTTAGTCATGCCGGCCACATGACCACGGAAACGTCTTCGGACAGCGCTGGCTCTTCGGCTTGGAAACGGAGATGAGCACTGCAACCCTAGAGTCGGATTCGACTGGCTTTCAAGCAAGGGAACTTTTACCTTACTACAGTAAATGTTTTTGCAACTTATCTTTATTGACTCTTCGTCATTTTTGTCACGGATGTTGTTTTGGTATTCCTCCTCCTCATCCTCCCCTGGAGAAAATGGCTGCTTCGGAGGGTGGACTCCGTGGCATTGTATCCTACGGAGGATCCCTCCCCTCCCCTCCCCAAACCCCACCCTCTCCTGGATCCACCCCCAAAGGCTCCAGGTATTTTCCTACCCAGACATGGCAAACCTGTTCCTTGGATGTTTCTAAACAGAGGTTAGATG